TATATATTGTTGAATTTTATAATTCCTAATAAGTGTGAAGTTTGAAATTTGTAAAGCCAGATAAAACTACCTGAAGTTAAAATTTTATTGAAGAAAAAAATCAAAATGTGCTCTCAAGTAGCAAAGAAATGATATTGGATATTATACTTGGATTAACATATTTTCAATTTTTTATAACTTACATTTTGTCCTGTTTTTTACAATTCAGTAACGGTAGACTGTGCTCATGCAATACAAAAATTCAATGTTGGAGTGAAGTGTGCTACCATAACTCCAGATGAAAATCGAGTTGAAGGTATGATATATTTTTTATACACAGCTTTTTTCATGAAAACATTTTTTTTTCCTATCAAATTTACTAATTCAACTCTTGAATTGTCTTATAATACACAAGAATAATTCATCTATGAAATTCAGAAGTTTTTAGTTAAGTTACCAAGTAGGTTTTAATTCTGAAAAGCACTATAAAGGAAATTTACTTATTTTGAACTTTGTTAAACAGGTACGTAGGTGTGAAAAGAAATGCTTAATTTTTTGGGGTTTAGTATGTTGCTTTGATGGTAGAAGGGTGACCTCAAATGACTTCTTGTGTACCTGTTTTTATTAGGTTCTCGTAAAAAATGTGTTAAGAAATCTATAAATACAGCTGGAGGTGAAGAAAACTGCCCTTGTATGCTTATTTCTATGCATTGAACTATGCTATGTTTTGTCTGGTAGAGCTGCATGTTGTGAGCTTCTTTAATTTCTTAGTGTGTTACACTTTCAGTTTTAGAAGTAAGACTTCTAGTATATTCTGTGGACTGGAGAGATTGTGTGTTCTACTCTGACTAAAATGTTTGGTCTTGTGATTCCGATGTAGCTTTTGTTTTCATGAAGTCTGGTCTGTGAATGTCTATGTTTCATCACTGTAAGAGTATAAACAAGTGTTCTTTTTACACACAGCCTTCTTTGTTATTATAGAATCTTTTTTTTGCATTCTAAGTTTGTGTTTTAAGTTAAAAATTCATTTAAAGAGACTATAGAAAATGAATCTTGATGTCAAAAAAGATGCATTTAACTCTTTACATTCAGCTTTCAAAAACATGGCTATTCTACTAAGTTCTTACAGACTAGGAAATCCTGTAGTGTCACGAACTCAGTAATACAAACAAACAGATTGATAGACATTTTAAGCATGGCTCTGGAAAGTATGGCTATTTCTACATTTCACACATGATAATGATATGATTTGAAATGTAAGGGACAATAAGTATTAGTAAATTTTTCAAACATGGATGTTTAGAAGAATATAATTTTTTTTGGTTATAATGATTTCCAGGAACTGAAATTTGTTTTTGATTTCTGATGCCATGGTGAAAGTTAAATTGATGTTTCCAATTAAGCTTAATGAAGAATTTACAAAAAATATTACTGTCTTCAACCTAAAATTTGTTTTAGATAATAATCATGTAGTTATTACAGAGCACAGGTATTCTTCTCTCAAAATTAGTATGTTTAAAATTATTTAAAGGATTATTAGAATTTATAAAATTTTAGCTATCACGAGGAAAAACCACTCTTATAATAATATCAATCACCACCAACTCCAGTTCATTTTTCAATAAATTATTTATTATTTCAGCGTATGATCATAAATGAAAATGTGTTAGAGGGTGCCTTTATGTCTTTATAGCTCCTGACTTTTAAACTTATTTATGAGATATGTTGCATCCTTAAAATCAGAATGCTTGTGCATACAACTAATGTTTTCATCATGTCAAATAACTCCAGAGGAATAGATGAATATACCTTATGAACACCTGGTTAATATTCACAAGTGATTAGAACAAAAAAAAAACATAACTGTTACGATCTATTCAATCTGAAACTGTAAAAAGGTATGCAACTAGTTAACCAATTAATGGTAACAATGCAATCATTAATTAAAAAATCCTACATAACTAATTATTTTGATAAACATTATTGAACATCTTAATTAGTCTGGTTTCCACCATAGCTGAATTCAACATTCCATCATGATAATATGATATTCTTCTAATCTTGATTATGTATTGCCACACCCATTCATTAGCCCACTGCACGCACTCATGCATATGTTTGCACAGTTACATTGTAGGGAGGGTCCCTGTATGTAGTTTTGTTTCTACTGAGAGAAACGCAGTTACATTCAAAATTCAGTTACTCTACTTTATTATCAATGTATGGCAATATGGTTTATAATTGAAGTTTTTCTATTATCAAAGTTTTAATTTCAAAAGGGAATGTATAAATAAATTTTCAGTCTTCCCCTCTCTTTGTTATATGATAAAGTTGCACTCTGACTTCTCATTTATAAGTTTTCTTTCTTCCCTTATATGGGTTTTAGAATGCCCAAACAATTAGAAACACATACTATAGTTATTGACAAACCAGAATATAAAATTTAAACCTGTTCTTGATTTACTGGGATATCACTATTTGTTCAACCCACATGATACGCCCCTCCCACCTCTCTCTACCTTTCAATACATGTCTATAATTCTCTCCTATATTACTATTGGACATGCTTATAATCAATAGAAAGAGCATTAAACATTTTTTATTCGGTTATTTTGTTTTGGCAGCGAAGTAGAAAGTTTAGCAATTGTTGTCGTGTTCAACTCTGAGCAGCTAAATGAAGTTTTTAACCAACTTTTAGCATAGCTAGAAAGCCAATTAAATTGTAGTAGTTTTGAGACATTTCATTCTGTGCATAATATATTTTTTTGTGTTTTAAAATACATATTTGAAAGCAACTTGAATTAGTTTTTGGACAACCAATATAATGTGAAAAAAATAGTTTATCAAAGTACTCCTGAGTACAAATAGGTCTCAAAGCTAAAGTAAGTTCTAAATTTCTTGCATTTATGTTTATTTTTGATTTATTGTTATGTATTTTGTAATAAAACTAACCAAAATAAGAAAAATTCTCACCCACACTCACTTGTTTAACTCGCAAAGTTTGAGGTCAGGTGATGTATCTTGATCTGTTTGTTCATACGAAGCTGTCCTGCTGTGTTATATTGAGTTTCATGTACTATGGGAGGGTCTAAGTACACTGTAAAACTAAAAGGAAGCAGATGTGAAAAGAATAGACAGCTGAGGTTGTCAGGAAAAATAATTGTAATTGTCTGTTACATTCTAGAAAGAAAAAGATAAATTATGACATATTAAAACATAGGTTTTTTCATGTTTATATATCGTTAGTGTTGTGACTGCAGTATAATAATTGAAAATCTTTTACAAATTAAAATAAAATTGTTAAATATTTATCTGTTTATTTTATTGTCTCTTTCTGACTGCCCATACACAGACAGAACACTCGCTTGTGGTGGTAGTAAACATCTTATTTAGCCTCAGAGGTACCCTATGATTGCAGTGAACCAAAACTGATAGTATTTATTATCTGTTTTTGTTGTGAATGATGGTGTGCCTCATCTAGATGTCCGAGCAACTGTTCCATTGGCTTGGAAATGGTTCCATGTATGTGACATCTGTACCCAATATAGATTTTATTAGTATGATGGCTCTCCACAATACTCAGATCTCATCTTTGAGGTTTAACCATGGCCCATGATCAATTTGGAGCACTTTAAACTCTATGATGCACTTTAAAGTGACAACTGGTATACACTATTATTTGAGACTACTACATATACTTGTGTATGTGTGTATATGATGAACAATATAAATTATTTAATGCATTATTTGAAATGATATAAAGCCATAGTGAGTTAATAAAGAATTCACCTAAATATGAATTTCTTCTGTCTCAAAATGTTCTAAACTGCATTATCTTCATCCATGTTAAGATCAAGGATTGTTTTAAAAACTTGTTGTGTCAATAAATTAGTGCCTAAAGAGGTTTTTATTTAATTTTGACAAATGATGTAAGGAGACAGTTACTCATGACAAGCCATAATTGACCAATCACTTGCATTATTTTGTATCACATGACTGATCATCAGACACCTGATTTGCATAATAATGAACTGATTGAGTTGATTGACATTATTTTGTAACTATGGTTTTTATTGTGCATTAGGTATAATATCATAAATTACCATCCATCTGTAACTGATCTGGACAGTGTAGCATATCTAATGGAACATGATGAAATTTTGTTACATAAGAAAATCACTCTAAACTTCCTATTGATGTTTCATTGGATTAAATAAGTTTTTGTTTGGTCTACTAATTTTAGAAGAAAAAATTATTGATACTTTCTGTCTTGGAACACTATAGCTTTGTCAGTTTCTTGTAAATTTTAAATAGTTTTAATGTAATTGCTGTTGAGTAGTTTTTAAGTCTTTGTGCCACATGACTTTCTAAGGATATTTTTTTTTCTTCTGCTGTTTAAAAAATTGTCATGTAGCAGAGCATACATGCTAACTTTTATAAAAAATATAACCTGTTTTTGTTGCCTATATTCTATTATTGAATGTTTGTGATTTGTGAAGTAATTACAAGATTTGCATGCAAATTCAATTTCAATAATAGAGTTTAAGCTGAAGAAAATGTGGAAATCTCCAAATGGAACAATTAGGAATATTCTTGGTGGAACTGTTTTCCGGGAAGCCATCATCTGTAAAAATATCCCTCGCTTGGTTACTGGGTGGAAGAAACCCATTATCATTGGTCGTCATGCATATGGAGATCAAGTAAGTAATAATTTGTAATATTCTTTTGGTGTATTTATGTTTAAAGCTCAAGCCTGTGAAATTTTGATACATTAAGAATATGTTAACCCCATAAATTTTAATTTAAAAAAAATTATATTTCAAGCACACAGTAAGAGTGGTTCATACATTTATCTCAAGTAAATATGTGTTTGCATTTAATTTGTTTGAAAATTGAATAGATATTAAGATTGCTTTTCCTAGTTACATTAACACCCAAGTCTTCAAGCCTTTGTCTAAACATTTTTGACAAATGAGAAGAACAATTTTAGACTACTATACGAGATTGAAGTTGATTTTTTTAAACATATTAAACTGCATTATCTTCATCCGTGTTAAAATTATAGATTGTTTTAAAAATTTATTGTGTCAATAAATTAGTGCCTAAAGAGGTTTTTAATTAACTATGAGAAATGATGTATGGAGACAGTTACTCGTGACAAATATGATGAACAATATAAATTATTTAATGTATTATTTGAAATGATATAAAGCCATAGTGAGTTAATAAAGAATTCATCTGAATAATATGAATTTCTTCTGTCTCAACTTTTTTGCAAAATGTTCTGGAGAAACAAGACGTAAATTATAACTGCTTGTACCAAAGCAAAAATTCTGATTAATGCTTGACTGGGATTCTGGATTTGGAATATTATTTTCATTACACATGTGGAGTCAAATTTTTAATTTAAAAATTTTGAGTTACATAATAACTTTATATTAATGTCAGATTTAGTAGATTTCGTCCATCAGAATAATCAGTTCAAATTGTATATAAAACAACAACAAAAATTATAGTTTTCTATAACTAACTTACTTCCTGTTTCTTCATAACTTAGGTTAATTCACTAATACAACTAAAAACTTGTGTAAAATCCACACTAAATTTACCTAAAACCTCTTAATAAATAAATAAACTAGCACTATGTACAATAATTTTTTTGTTAATTTAATAATTATTAATTTAAACAATTCCTGTGACATTTTTGTTGGCTGGGCATGATTTAGTGGTTAGTCTACTGTACTGTGATTAGGGTATTTAAATAGATAGATAGTGGAGGATACTGTTGACTAGCTGCCTTCCTTCTAGTTTACCAGTTCAAAATTTCTGGTTTATTGGAGTGTTTTTTCTCTTACCAGTACAAAGCTACAGATTTTGTTGTTCCTGGATTGGGAAAATTAGAAATTAAATTCACACCATCTGATGGAAGCGAACCAATTTGTCATACAGTATTTGATTTCCAAGATGGTGGAGGGGTAGCTCTTGCAATGTACAACACAGATAAGGTAAGCTGTGTATAATAAGTGAAATTTACACTTGGATTTTAAATGTAAATAATCTTTAAACGTAAATACATTCTCTAAATGCTATTTTTTAATAATGTTTAGTAACCAGTTTCTTTTTATAGAAATTAGAATTTAGCTAACTCAAAGGACTTTATTATCTATTAAAAACTGTTATTTTAGTAGTAAAAAAAGAAACTGTAATTGTAATGATTTCAATTGATTTTCAGTCAATCAGAGACTTTGCTCACAGTTCATTCAAGTATGCTTTAGAAAAAGGATATCCACTGTATATGAGGTGAGGGTAAAAAAGGTTTTCAAAATCACCATGAAAAAAAAATTAAAATAGTGTTAATCTTCAGTATTACTAAATTAATTGTAAACTGGTTCCTAAAATGATTTGTTATTGAAAATTTAAAAATGTCTGCAAAGTAAACAGAAATTTCACAGATCCAGTTGTACTTCAAATTTATTATGTTGGTATATTTGCTATGATTGTTCTGTATTCATTTTATTATTTTTGTAAAATGTGTATCAATTACATGATGCTTAATTCTTCTGTAATATTTCACACAAAAAATTAAGTTTTTTTATTTACAAATCTTTCCATCATGTTTCTAAAAATTTGGCTGAATAAAAAAAATATTACAAGTGTAAAATAACATTTAGCAAACATAGTAGGATCAGGTGTGTTTCTTACAGCCTGGTAACTTTTTTTTTCATTATTACTAACTTGAATTTTCTTTTTATCTGTTGCTTTGCAAATGTATAATCATTCATATACAATTTAAACCATGCTATAAATTTTTTTCAGTACCAAAAACACAATTTTAAAAAAATATGATGGTCGTTTTCGTGACATCTTCCAAGAAATATATGAGAGGTTAGTAAAAATATCTTTGTTATATTGAATTTAATTTTGAGATTTCAAACTGTATTTTAAGTGGATAAGGTAGTTTTTGGTTATTTAGAAACATTATGTTTTCAATAGAATTGTAGAAATCTTAATATTTTAAATACTTAAAAATTAAAAAGGACTTTTTAAGTTATCTACAAAAAAAAATCTTGTCTTTATCAAGAATATCAATCCTTACAAACCTCATAAGTAGTTTTGATCCTAATTTTTGTGGTATAGATAATAATTTGAATTAAAATTAAAAGAAAATTGAAATCCCATTAATATTTGATTTGAAAATGTAAAAGTTTTGTTCAGATGTTTTTTGAATCTTTTTCTACAAGATGAATAGTAGATTTTGATTTTTCTCTTTAGCAGCTACAAGAATTGTATGACAGTATACAAATATCATGAAAATATCATAAGATGCATTGTATAATGTTATAAGATAATGGCCCGTTATGATAATATTTTTATGCATTATTAATCCAGCGATTATAGAATGCAATATGAAGCCAAGGGCTTGTGGTATGAGCACAGATTGATAGATGACATGGTTGCTCAAGCCTTGAAGTCTGAGGGAGGCTTTGTTTGGGCTTGTAAGAACTATGATGGAGATGTTCAGTCTGACTCAGTAGCTCAGGGTGAGTTTATCATATGAATTAATAATAATAAGTTCATCTTCTCACTGATGATTTATTTGATAAATACCCTAGTTTTATATTCACACAATGCTATTGCACTGTTTTTAGGTACTTTCTCCCACCCCTCACACACTTGCATAGTGCAATGTTTATAGTCAGGTTGTTTTTCTCCATGAACAACTCAAGCTCTTGCAAGAAACTGTGGCTTAAATGTCCTATAGTTTTAAGATTGCAATGTATTGAAAAAACATGTATGGTATAAATGATACAAGTTAGTTTGTGACTTTGTGTTTAGAATTATAATGTGATATTCAGGTACACTGAAGGCTTCAGGTAGTTAAAAGTATCAACAAGATCGTAGATTCTGCTAATGTACTACAGAAAATTAGTTTAAACACAGACAGCAAAGGAAAACCAAACACAAAGGAAGAAATAGACAAAATTTTAATCATCAAAATTTATGTTTATTACTTATTGACTGGCTTCTCTATTCCAAATAATGACTGCATATTATTGATATTGGGGTAAGGGTGAACAAGAGACTGCCAGTAAAATGTCAACATAGAATAAGGATGGAAAGAATTATAATATACTGAAATGGTGCACTTTCAAATTGGACAAAGGTTCCAACTCAGAATGTCCCCCTAGTGGTTTTCTCAGTGTTTCTAACATATCTATCACCATTTCTTTCTTTTAAACCAAAATATCAATGAGATAGGTTGTGTCTTTAGTCAAAATTTCATATTTTTTTAGACCCAAATACAGCTTAATTACTAAGTTTAATAAATTATAGTCAAATTCTATGGTATTGATGTAGTAATTTATGATTTCTTAGTTATTTAAAAGTATATATAAAACCAAAAAAATATTTTGTTTCATATCCTCCATGTGCAAAATTTTTAAAGGCTTAACATCCTACACCAAGCAGCAACTGAGTACAAAGGTTGTAACTAGAAGAGATAACTGTTTGCTTTACTTCTTTATTTACTGTTCTAGGTTTTAGTAAAAATAACTTTAACAACTTATTTCAAAAATAGCAATAATCTATTTACATATATAATGTATAATAATTGAAATGTGACTGTATTTTACAAAATACTAGCCAACTAAAAAAAAGCCAAGACAAATTATTTTGTACAGACCAAAGGTCACCTTTATGTTATTTGATACGATAACATGAGTGCACATGAGCCATGTCATTGTAACTTTTGTATTGTTAGCCAGGCACTGGTGAAAGGACAATATGATAAAAATAATAAATATATATAAGTGTATAATGTTATGAGAGTTAAGCTATTTCATCTAAACATTTTTGTTTTCCTGTTAAAATTTATGTTCATTCTAGAATGAAAGAGGCATAAGTTATGTTTATTTCCTAATTTTTTATGGTGGTTGCGAGATCGGTCCAATTTACTGAATCCATACAGAGATGATTACTGAAAATAATAGATAAAATATAAAGTTTCTTCTTAAGAAACATTTGAAAACTATCTGGACTTTATAAAAACTGTGCTCATGAAATTTAAAAATTTTTTGACACATAAAAGTATTTTTAATGTTAAAATGAAAATTACTTTGCATGATAGATGGCCAGGTGGTTAGGGCGCCTCGACTTGCAATCTGAGGGTCGCGGGTTCGAATCCCCGTCCCACCAAACATGCTCACCCTTTCAGCCGTGGGGGTGTTATAATGTGAGGGTCAATCCCACTATTTGTTGGTAAAAGAGTAGCCCAAGAGTTGGCGGTGGGTGGTGATGACTAGCTGCTTTCCCTCTAGTCTTACACTGCTAAATTAGGGAAGGCTAGTGCAGCTAGCCCTCGTGTAGCTTTGCGCAAAATTCAAAATAAACAAGCATGATAGATAAGCAAGATGTGAAAAAGAAAAAAAAAACGGAATGAGAGAAACATTGATTTAAAAACCTTAAAACTTAATAAAAAATTTGATATTTTGTGTATGAAGGCATTGCAATGTTTACTGATAAACTGACAAATTTCGTTAATATTCGCTTAACAATTTAAAAGTTATAGCATGAAA